TAATGCTTTACACACTGAAGGTCTAACTATATTGGCAGAGTCCAAACCTGGGGGCCAGAAGCATGTAACAGTTTTCTCTCAGTTAGCGGCTCAGCATTTCTAACTCTGGAACAAAGCAAATCCTTGCATTCTACCCCATAGCCAGTTAGCTCAGTTCATGCAAGACCTACTTGCTTCTTCATGTACTTTCTGTGAAGCCAGGGCCTTGGCTCTCTAACTCTGAGCTACCTCGAGGCTCAGCCTCCTGTAGTCACCAACTGGACCCTGAGTCACTTGTAGTAGCATTTATTACCTCAAATTTCTAATAACCAGCTTGTCCCATGTCAGCATGAAGGTAATTTGGGGCCCGGCTAACCAGTAGCTCATGCCTGTAATCCTAGCTATCAGGAGGCTAAGATCTGGGGATTGTGGTTTGAAGCTAGCCTGGGCAAGAAAGTCTGAGACTTTTTATCTCCAATTAACTACCAAAAGGTTCAAGAAGCGAAGAAGTGGCTCAAATGGTAGAGCACAAGCCCTGAGCAAAAAAAAGTTAGGGGACAGTGACCAGGCCCTGAGTTCAAGCCTTTGGACTGGTGCAAGTGTACACACACACAGCTTCCAATTTTCTCAACTTTGTATTCCAAGATTTGTTGAATAAAACCACTGTTGATGTGTGCTAATGTGGCTGGAATTTGGCAAGAAGAAACTGAGAAAGGTACCCAATCAGAGCAGATGCTTTTGAAGAGAAAGCTGCCAACAGCTATAATATTGAAAGCATAATCTTCAGTGGGGGAGGCCAACATGCAGCCAACCCTGGCTCCAGACTTTCCCTCTTGGCCTTTGCCACAGGCATGCTCAGGGTCTGACTTCAAGAGTGAAGATCTCAAGGATCCTTTCTTTTGTGTTTGTGTTGTTTTTTGGTCAGTTGTGGAACCTGAACTCTGGGTCTGGGCGCTGTCCCTCAGCTCTTCAGCATAAGGCGAGCACTCTACCACTTGAGCCACAGCACCACTTCCAGCCTTTTCTGCTTATGTGGTGCTGAGGAATCGAACCCAGGCCCTTATACATGCAAGGTAAGCACTCTACCACTGAGCCACCTTCCCAGCCCTGTGTGTATGTGTTTCTTAAACAAAAATCTGAAGCAAAGGGATGAGGTGTGAATCTAATGAGAGCTTTTCCTTTGACCTGATTTGTGCAAACAAATTGAATGCGGTTCCCACGCCATCACAAAGCAGTGCCAACAAAAATCTCAACATTAAAAAAAAAAAATCCCTAAAACTGCTGGGCCCTGGTGGCTCACAACTACAATCTTAGCTACTCAAGCGATCTGAAGATCATGATTTGAAGCCAGCCTCAGCAGGAAAGTCTGTGAGACCCTTAACTCCAATGAATCACCAAAAAGCCAGAAGTAAAAGCTGTGGTACAAGAAATAGACTCTAGCCTTGAACACAAGAGGTCAAAGGCAGTACCCAGGCTCTGAGTTCAAGCCCCAAGATTGATGAATGTGTGTGTGGTGTGTGTGTGTGCCTAAAACCCGCCCCAATGCCATGTAATGAAGAATTCAGAGTAATAGTGCCCAAGCAACGGGAACAGGACAGGACGGGTGCTTCAACAAGTAGTATGCAGAGGGGGTGGAGGGAAGGGCCATCTAGACTTCCTAGCACTGGGAGTGCCACAGGCACAAATGTTCTCCAGGCTTTCACTGCACACTGCACCCAGGATGACCTTGCCAGCAGCTGCCAGTAACGTGAGAGCCCAGGACTACAATGCCCACTAAGCTGTCCTTAGCAGACTCCAATGAGGAAGAGAGCACTGCAAAACTCTGTCAACTCGGCTAATGGTTAATGGAAGAATGAAATAAAATTCCGCATTAGAAAGATGTCATCAAAGAGGATTCAACAGAGAAATCACTTTGAGCACCTGAGGCAGAGGTGTTTTTAAGAGTGTTTCACCCTTTGGCTACTAAATCTGCAGTGGGAAAAGAATTCCAAGTTTTGTGTTGTGGCTGCGGTCACCCCAGCACCAACAAATGCTAGTGGTGCAGGTACTCATCCGTTTTCCTTCCTGCTGAGCAATGAAATGACTGCTGGTACCTCTGGCTCCCTACTTTCCTACAGAACCAGCCATGGGTAGCAAAGAGAGAACAGGTATGAAGAATTATATAAGAAGTATATAAGTCCACATATACGATAGACTACAGTAGAAAACCACCACACTGTATTTGGGAGGCAGAGGCAGGATGACAAAGCTCAAGGCTAACTTGATCAGACGTGGGGAGACGCTGTCTCAAATGACACAACAGACAAGACACCATGATTCTATAAATTAGAAAAAGGTGAGGAAGATTAAAGGGGCGAGGAACAGTACTCAATACTGGGATAATCCTAGTAAAAGAACGTAAGATTCTGATGAAGGTCTTAAATGTAAACTATACCCACGGAAACCCCATAGCCCAGGTTCTCAGGCCAATCTCAGAACTGAATACTGATGCTATTCACTGGCTAAAAGCCTTTTTGCCACATGTTAAACACAAAAAACAAAAACACTTTCTCAGGACCTCTGCCCTACTTTTGTCCTATTCTTTCTGTGTTTTTCATACTTGGGCCTTACACTTACTAAACAGGTACTCTAACGTTGAGCAACACCTCTAACCTTTTTAGCTTTATTTTTCAGATAAGGTCTCTCTTTTTGCCTGTACTGTAATCCTATTTATGCTTCCTGTATAGCTGGGACATCAGGCATTTACCACTGTACCCCACTTAATACTTATGTAAAATGGAGTCTTGTGAATTTTTTGCCCAAGCTGACCTCAAACTTCGATCCTCCCAATCTCTGCCTCGGTAAGTAGCAAGGATTACAGTTACGATCCACCCTTCCTGGTTCTACTTTTGTTCTATTCTTACCTACTCTAAAAATACCCTTGGTTACTTGTATGACAAGGCTATTTTCTGACAGAACTTTCTGATGCTTGTCAGAGTGAAGTACAAACAAGTCAGTCATCCAACATGATGTAGCCTCCAATTCCTTCAGAGAGAAACAGAATATGGAGAGAACCCCTCCCAACACAACAACCACCCCCCCCCCACCTGCCGTGTGAGGTATGGGCTTTGAGCTTTTATCCAACCCCACTGCCATCCCTAGCTGACTTACACCCAAAGCTTCAGTGTTTCAGACTGCCATGACACTGCGGCAACAGCTGTATTCTTGACTGTGCAGTGTAATTTCTGACATAATTTATACAAGCACAAATAATCAATCAGCAGTGAACGGGGAAGCAATGTTATGAATGCTATGAATGGGCCTATGATTTGCATATTATTTGGCTCCTCTGTGGACTAGAGCAGTCCACCCATTCTCCTCATTGTATTGAATAATCCTGAAATGGTCGGATACTCCTGGCAGATAGCTATATGTTTTAAAAATCAAAAGGAAGCCGGGCGCTGGTGGCTCACGCCTGTAATCCTAGCTACTCAGGAGGCTGAGATCTGAGGATCGCCGTTCAAAGCCAGCCCGGGCAGGAGAGACCGTGAGACTCCTATCTCCAATAAACCACCAGAAAACCGGAAGTGGCGCTGTAGCTCAAGTGGTAGAGCGCT